CTATTGGGCTGAGTGTTCCAGAATTTAGAGGCGGCCAAGGGGAGGGCGGCGGCGGTGGAGGTGGTATGGGGGACCGCAGTGGCAGGGAGGGGTCCGGGGGCGGGGGAGGTAGGTAGGGCGGAGGAGAGGGGGGCGGTAACGGCGGTGGAAGAGGCGGAGGGGGTGATGGCGCATAGGGCGGGGGTGGTGGGGACGGCAACGGAGTTGGTGATCGCGGAGGGGGAGGTGGAGGTAAGGGCGGAGGGCTTGGTGGGGGCGGAGACGGCGGTGGCGGGGATGGTGGTGGCGGGGAGGGCAATGGCCGGTGCGACGGCGGTAGCGCAGCCGGTGTCAGGGGCGGCGGAACCGGCGATGGCGATGGCGATGGCGGTGGCGACGGAGGGGGAGGCGGGTACGGAGGGGGCGGCGGGGACGGTGGCGGCGGAGAGGAAGGCGGGGGAGAGGGTCGATGGGATGACGGTCTTGGTGGAGGCAGCCAGGGAGGGGGTTGCAGAGGCGGCGGCAACGGAGGAGGTGGAGGAGAGGGGGGCGAGGGTGATGGAGAAGGTGGCGACGGCGGCTGTGGAGAGGGAGGCGGCGGAGGGGGCGGGGGGGTTGGTGTCGGCGGCCACGGATGGGGTAACGGCGGTAACGGCGAGGGAGGGGGTGGGGGAGGTAACGGCGGCGGCGGGGGGAGCGAAGGGTGAGGTGGCAGAAGAGGTGGAGGCAGGCGAGGCAAAAAAAGGGGTTGGCACGGGGGCGGCAAAGATGGAGAGGGGGGAGGGGGGGGGAATGAGGGAGAAGGAGAGAAAGAAAGAGGAGGAGAGAGAAAGAGGGCTAGGATGGGGGGGGGAGAGAGAGGGGGCAGGGGGGGGTTTGGAATGTCCGACTCCCGGGTGGAGACACTGCCCTTTGCAGGAGTCACGTGTCCCCAACGACCGGCAGTCGGTAATGAGGTTTGGTTGGTTGAGGAAGACGGCCTCCGGTTCCTGAAGCAGGGCAGAAATAAATAAAGGTTAGGGACGTCTCGGGCAGTTATCGCCGCGTTGAATCCCTCCGTCTGCCGGAACGATCTCCCATCGGTTATAATAACCGGCGGCAATCGATAGTCAAAGTTGGGCTCCGGAAAGCGATAGAGCGCCCGCCCATGCCCTCCGCTTGTTGTGCAGCACCCGCGGCGCGCGCGCGCCGCGGTGTTGACCAACGACCGTGCCACTGGAGGCTCCCACGCCACTCGCGGCGATCCGCATCGAGGCCGCCCGTCGGCGCAGCAAAGGCACTGCGCACTTCTGGGCAGCGCCCAGAATGCAGGGAAGGCCTTGGCGCTTCTCGCCAGCCAGGCTGACTCGGCAACCGGCACGCGAGCCGACTGCGCGTCCCGAGCCCACGGATCGGCGCCGTCGCACAGGCCCGCCAGCCGCCGCACAGCTCCAGAGAGGCCACTGGCGTTGCGCTGCACTGCTTGAAGCTGATGTTGAGGCGCTGCACTGCTCAAAGCTGCCCCGTGCGCCGCCGCGAGCACCGCGCCGTGGCCTCGTTCTCTGGCGAGCCCCAGCACGACCCCTCGCGGCCACTCGCGCCGTTGCAGCAGCTCCGACCCCGCCACTCCGGCTCCCGAGCGCGCGACGAGCACGAGGAAGAGCATGCGCATGGGCCAAAATCAGTTACTAAGGCATCCGGGAGTGAATTCTTTTCAGGCCTTTTGGCGTCAGGCTTTTCACTCGCGTCTGACGCCCGAGCCGATATGAAGGCCGCCTCCCTCCTCGCGTCTGCGCACGCGGCGGCCAACAAAGCCGCCAACAAGGCGCTCGAGCATGCCATGCCCACTCCCAGCTTCTCCATCGCCGACTTGGTCGACGAGGTCAGATCCCTCCGCGAGCAGAAGGCCGCGCTCGAAGGCGAAAAGTCTCTGCTCGAGTCGCACGTCGGCTTGCTGTCGCAGCAGCTAATGCTTCCGCCGGGCGAGCGAACCGTGACCGAGGCGCCCGACACCGGTGCGTCAAAGCCGCCAAAGTCACCGGATGCCGAGAGCGCAGAGCCGTCGGACGAGAGCAGCGTCGAGCAGCTCTCGGCTGTGCGCGCCGCCCTCGACGCTGAGGCAGACGCGGGCATCGCGGCGACTCTCGCGCTGGGCTCAGAGATTCGCGCCGCCGAGGCGGATGCCGAGGCCTCGCGCCGCCGCGTCGCGAGCGCCGAGGAGGAGCTGCGGCGCAGCGTCGAAGAGCTTGAGGCGGAGCTCGAGCGGCTCGCAGCGCGTGAGCGGCGCGCCGTCGCTTCAGCGGTGAGCGCGGAACGCAGGCGCGCGGCGCAGGCGACGGCCAGTCTCGAGGAGGCGCTCGGCGCGGCGCAGGACGCGCTGGCTCGGCGCGAGGAGGCACTAGATCTCGACGGCGGAGGCGGGTATGGAGGCGGGTACGGCGGAGGCGGCGGCGTGGACCAGGAGCGTCAGCTACGCGCCGAGTGGATGGCAAAGTGCGAGCACCACCGCGCGCGCAGCACCGCGCTGCAGGAGGAGGTGGCGGCACTACGGGCTGCGCACGATGACGAGCTGCGGCGAGAGCGATCGCGCGCCGAGGGCGCTGAAGGGAGGCTTGCGCAGGCGGAGGCGGCGGCGCGGGCGGCGGGAGCGACACGCGCGCAGGCGGAGCGGCAGGCTGCGCAGCTGTCGTTGGATTTCAACGCGCAAGTGCACGAGCTCGCCCTGCTGCGGCAGCGCGCCGAGAGGGCGGAGCAGCAACTGTCGCG